CACCGGCCCATCCCTCCTCAACAGCCCACCCACACCCAGTAAGCCCACCCCCGCCCACCGGCCACGCCCACCCCCGCTTAACCCGCCACGGCTCTTCCCCACCCCACATCCCATCCACGCCCACCCCACAGCTTACCCCACTCCCACGTCCACCCCCACGCCAACTCCACGCCACGCCCATCCCATACCCTCCCCCGCACACCTTCACCCCCACGTCCACACCACGAGAAATGATTCGGGGCATCAGCGGATGGCACTGCAGTGTCTCTGACCGGGAGGTCCTAACGTTCCAGTGCCAGCCGTGGCGGTTTATTCGATACTTAGTAGCTACACAGCTAGGTCGAGTTCAGTCACTGTCTGGAGGGGAATTCTAGCGGCCGGCTGCTCTGATCGGTAGCTTTCCGTGGTTTCTCCGATCAACACCAGGCGAGGTCGACGCAGTAAACTAACAAACGGGTCACGTACCGTAGGCAATCTTTCTTTCCTTTCTTGTTCTATTCTAGCCCTCTTTCTTACACACAGTTACACTAACATGCACTACACTACCACACATGCCGGGAGGGAGCATACAGCTTGTCCCGGCTGGGGCGGTGCTTCGCTGGTGGGAGATACCTGGTTGGAGAAAACCTCGCTGGACGACGGTAGGTCGGCGCGGGATCTCGTCATCTAGGAGGGGAAGATCAAAGACATCTCCCGTGATATAAACATGCTCTAAACTTACGGGACAATTGACATTAGTAGTTGCCGCGCCCGGATTTTTTCATTTCTCTACAGACGTCTCCTGCACATCTTGTTTCCCTTTGGAAAGAAATTGTTACAGTCGATCCAAGATAAGGCAATGATTACATTTTCTGAAATTTTCACAATCAATGAACGTGAGTACATGTGTGTCTGTGTCGTGACAGGTGGTGGCCGCGGCGCTGCTGGCCGTGTCTGTGGCGTCGCTGCTAAGCCGCGCCGACACGCGCAGCTCCACGCACGGCCGTGCGCTGGCGTGCCACGCCGCGTGCCTGGCCGCCTCCAACGCCCTGCAGGCCGCCTGGTTCTTCACCGACACCACCCATTGCGAGACCTTCGGTGAGCGCCCTACGTCAGCTCCGACGCCACGCGATCCGATCCGATCTGATCCGATTCGACCTGACTCGATCCGACCGGACCCGACCCGATCTGACCCGACCCGACCTCACACGATCCGATCCCACCCGACCCGACCCGATCCGATCCGATCCGACCAGACCGGACCCGACCTGACCCGATCCGACCCGATCGGACCCGATCCGTTCCGACCCGATCCAATCTGGCGCGGCCCGATTCAATCCAATCGCGACCTTATTCGACCTTTATTCCTATATTCGGCAGGTACAAGAAACTTCCTTGACTGCGTTACGACGTGACCTGCGGATCATCTGTGCATAAGCAGTTGCCTACATTCAGGGGCAAATGTCACTTGCATAACAGTTTCATGAGATTTCGACCACTCTACATGCCCTAGGCGTTTGTAATTTTTTGTTCTGAAACACCCTATAAAAACCACCGCGCGAGGGTATAATGCACGATCATTATCGAACATTGTGCAAGAGAAGAAATGAAATTTCGCTACAGTGTATCCCTGTCCTGTTCTTCCTCATCAAACCCGATCTAATCCTTCTCCCTTCCGTCCGCCCACAGCCACCATATCCCTCACCTCTTCCACGCCGTTTTGGCCCAGCCCATTCCTGCCCTGACTTGCCAACGACCCTCATTCCTACGATCAACAGGAAACATATTCATTTTCTGACGCACAAAACACAGAACAAACAACTATTTTCTTTCAAATCATTTTTTGGTCCAATTAGTAGAACAAAATTAGTACAAAGAGGTCTGTTTAGAAAATTGCCGAATTTAAAAAACTTAATTTTTAATTTTTACATATTATTGGTCCTTGTCGCCACTGGCTTGCTCTGTTCAGACACTTTTACCGGTGGGGCTTCCATTTCGCATAGCAGTTCTGGGTAGCTTAAATTGAAATGTCCTTTAAGTTCAGTGACGAATTTGCTTTGATGTCATCAACAGACTGAAAACGGTATTCTTTCAGCAAAGACTTTAATTTCAACACACAAAGACAAGAAAAACTCACAAAGAGTAAGGAGGATGAGGGAGGACAGTAATTTGATTTTGGCTTAAAACTGGCGAATGGACAAAGCTGATCGTGCCGGAGCATTGTCGTGGTGAAAGAACAATGCGTTGTCTCGCCACAAATCTGGTCTCTTTTTTGCGAATAATTTCACGTAACCACGAAATTTGATAACGGACGACTACACACCAATCAGCACACTCCTAGATAATACACGAGTTTCTGCTCGTTTTATCCTCTGTTCTATCGTTTTAATGCAGTTCACCGTATGAAGTGATGCTGCACTGGTGCTATCTTCACCCCGTGAGAGCGCATGCGCAGATGATTCGGCGGCCGATCACTGGGCGCGTGGCCATGCGGAAAGTGTTAGATTGTGCGCGCTGTAAACCCCCTTGATAATACGCGTTTACCTTGAGGCAAGAATTCAAAATGCACAATTCCATTAAAGTCGAAAATACGGAGCATCAGTTTGTTATTAGATCAAGGCTCCCTTGGGGCTTGGAGATCCTTTGTCAATCCATTGAGGTAACTGAACTTTTGTCTCTACATGAGCTTACATGCATCGTTGTTCCAGAAAATTGGGCCTTTTTTAAAAATTGGCACTAACACTTACACACGTTACATTCCAACAATGACACAAATCTAAATAAGACATTAATAATCCAAGAATATGTGGATAGATAAGAGGTTATGAGCAACGCAATGCTGCCAAACGATAAATTCTAAATATCTACATTAGCAAGAATTCTTTTAAAAAAAATCTGTAATTATCTGAACAGACTTTGCATGTGATATGGGTTAAAATAAAATTAACTGTATCTTATGTCAACATAGGAGTGACTACTTTTTCGGGTTCAATAGTTTTTTAAGTTTTATGTTTATTATTATAAACAGCACATATTTTTTTAAATGTAGCGCGTGAATTTTTTTTTTACTTTAAGTAAATCAACAAACAGGAACTATCTTGCTTATCACTTGCAATGATCTTCTCAACTTTTACTCCAGAGTGTGCCCAAAGCCATCACCATCACCATGGAAGTTGTGTGTTTGAACTTGTTTAATTTACAGCGTACTGCATCTACTTCTTCCTGACCGCAGCCGGCTTCTGGCTGCACGTCGTTGCCGTCAACATGGCGCGAGGCTTTGCGTAAGTAATCATGCATCACCTTTTATTTTCTCTCTTCCGCTTCCGCGGTAGAGAGAAAGTTACGTATTGCGACGAGAAAAAGAGCGAATTTGCGGCAGAAAAACTCTTGTTGCAGAGGCCTGGTAACGAAGAAGGGGATAATCCAGGTGCTAAATTTAAAAAGCAAATGATCTAACATGTGGTGTAGCCAGAATCTCTGTTTTGATACGGTCAAATAGAATGACGGCGAAATGACCGCCCGTCTATGAACAATGCTAGCGGTTAAACAGTTCAGCCGATTTTATCCAAAATTGATATTCTTTAATCGATCTGGCTATTGTCGCGTTCCTGTTCGCGTTGCCGTTCCCTTTCACGGGATATTGTGGAGTGGCCTTGACGGTGCCTTCACACGGGGCCACTGGGTGGCGCCACCGAGAATCTGCAGAGCCTTTCACACGGATCCACCGACGACCGCGAGAGAGGAAAGCTGCCTTCGCACGGAGCCACTAGGCGGCGCCACCGAGAACCAGCAGTCACTCACACGGAGCCACCACCAACCGCAACCAATAGCGGAAGATGAAGATTCACACGGAGCCACTCGGTGGCGCCACCGAGAACCGGCAGAGTCCTTCACACGTAGCCACCGACGACCGCAACCGATTGCGATAGAGGAAGGCTGCCTTCACACGGAGCCAATCGGAGGCGCCACCGAGAAGCGGCTGAGTTCCTCACAAGGAGCACCAACGACCGCTACTGACCGTGAGAGAGGAACGCTGCCTTCACACAGAGCCACAGTGGCGCCACCGAGAAGTGGCAGAGCCCTTCACATGGAGCTACCGCCGACCGCCACTGACCGTGAGAGAGGAAGGCTGCCGTAACACGGAGCCACTTAGTGGCGCCACCGAGAAGTGACAGAGCCCTTCTCAAGGAGCCACCGACGACTGCCACTGACCGGGGGAGAGGAAGGCTGCCTTCACACGGAGCTAATCGGAAGGGCCACCGAGATCCGGCAGAGTTATTAACACGGAGCCACCGACGACCGCAACCGATCGTGATAGACGACGATTCACACGGAGCCAACCCGGTGGCGCGAGAACCGGCAGAGTCCTTAACACGGAGGCAGTGCTGACCGCCACTAACCGTAAGAGAGTAAGGCTGCCTTCACACGGAGCCACTCGGAGGCGTCACCGAGAAGCGACAGAGCCCTTCACATTGAGCCAATTGGAGGCGCCACCGAGACCGCTACTGACCGTGAGAGAGGAAGGCTGCCTTCACACGGAGCCACTGAGAAGCGGGAGAGCACCTCACACGGAGCCAACGAAGACCGCAACTGACCGTGAAAGAGGAAAAAGCCAAAATCTTTTTTCTGTTTCTCCAGAGGGTGCTGCTTTGACTGCAAAACTCGTGGGTTCAATTTTCTGCAAAGATGGAGGCATTTCACGAACTCTACGCAGTGTATTCTAGCTCGTTGGTTAAGAGTGGGTGGGCGCAAAGAGTATATAATGCTATGAACATAATGTAAACATAAAGTGAAATTTAACAAGATTTATTCCTCTTAATTTGTGCAACCAAAAACCTATCTGCATCTATTACATTCCTGCTACTGTTGCGCGTGGGTTGATGGGGCGTTGCTGCTGAGTCGTGCCGTGTGAAACATCCCCTTAATACGGGGGGGGGGGTGAACGTGGCGTTGTGTTTCGCAGGCGGCCGCTGGAGGCGCTGCCGCGAGGCGACGGCGGCGGACGCTGGCGCTTCGCCAAGATGGCGGCGCTGGCGTGGGGCGGCGCGGGGGCGCTAACGGCGTTATCTGTCGGCGTGTACACGCACCGCGACCGCGCCCCTGGCTGGATGAGCAAGCCGTCCTTCTTCGAGACGCGCACCTGCTTCGTGGAGTACGTCTACTCCGCCAGAGACCACCACGCTCGCAAGCACGGTAAGCGGCCTCTCCTACCTCATCGTCTCGCGAGACCTTATTAGAGTTAGTTAGTTAGTAAGTTAGTCAGTAAGTTAGTTAGTTAGTAAGTTTGTATGAGTGTTTGTAAGTTTGAGGTTTGTTTGTAAGTTTGTAAATATGTTTGTAAGTTTGTTTGTTTGTTCGTTTGTTCGTTCGTTTGTTCGTTCGTTCGTTCGTTCGTTTGTTCGTTCGTTCGTTTGTTCGTTTTTTCGTTCGGTTGTTGGTTTGTTCGTTCGTTTGTTCGTTCTATTGTTCGTTTGTTCGTTCGATTGTTCGTTTGTTCGTTAGTTTGTTTGATTGTTTTTTCGTTTGTTTCATCGTTCGTTTGTTTGTTCGTTTGTTTGTTCCATCGTTCGTTTGTTTGTTCGTTTGTTTGTTCCATCGTTCGTTTGGTTGTTCGTTTCAACGTTCGTGTGTTTGTTCGTTTGTTTGTTTGTTTGTTTGTTCGTTTGTTTGTTTCTTCGTTTGTTCGTTCGTTTGTTTATTTATTTACTTATTTATTTATTTATTTATTTACTTCTAAAAACGGTACAAACCTGTGCGTGTCGTGCTATGGGGAGAAGTTAATTTGAAGTTACATTTATGTCCAGAAGCAAAACAAGGGACCATCTCAGCATTTGCTTGAGGATCAGGGAAACTCGACGAAAACCTGATCGAGATGGGGGTCATTGACCCAGACGCTGAAGTACGATGCGTGTAACAGTTTCTTTACAATTATACAATCAAATGGTGTATAATACATTTAATACCATTGTTAAAATTAATATTACTTTCCTTTTGGATGCTCGGTATAGTTTCTAGTTAACGTAACAAGTGATGTAAGGGCGAAACAGGTGATTTAAGACCCATTCACAATGCTAACATAAACATAAGTAAGGCGTTTACATAAAAGTTAGTACTACGTCCACCAGCGGTCTCATTCACAATGCTTTCGCATAAGCATAATACATAAGACGTTAACTTAAAAGCTTGCAAAAGTCAAGCTTCTGTACTTATGCTTAAGTAAGATATAAACGAACCAATCCCAGTACGTTAACTGAAAATCGTGAATCGAAATTGCAGCGAAGTTGTTAGACGAAATAACGCCTTATGGGCGCCTTACAACCCAACCAATAGTAATCTAGAATGCCTCTAGAACGAAACTAGAATGCCAATAGAAAGTCTTACGTTAATGTTAGACATTGTGAATACTTCAGCCTAACACTTTGTTAATGTTTACGTCTATGCGTTATGCTATTTACGCTTGCATTGTGTATGGATCCTGGTAGTCGACGTGCCCGAAATCACTAAACAATCAATCAATCGATACAAAAACAGTACCATTTAATAGCAATAATTTCTGTTCTAGCCACTAAGCAATAAATCAAATTAAAAAAACAAAACAGATGCGTCTGCGTATCCAGGCGCGGGGTCCGGGCGCGAGCTGGGCGCTCTGTGCTACTACTACGCGCCGATGGCGCTCCTGGTGGCCGGCAACGCGGCGTGCCTGGCGCTGACGGCGCTGCGCGTGCGCAGCCTGCGCAGAAACTCGTCGCTGGTGCTGCGCGAGGGCGCCCGCTCCTCCCCCGCGCTGCGCCCGCTGCGCACGTGAGTCCACGCGGCTGCGCGACGCGATTGCGCCGAGAAACCTGCCTTAAGCGGACACCGGTCCAAAGAGTAAAACACATAGCAATAAGGGAAACATGAAGAGCTCACAAGTTCAAAATTGTTTCGGAGTCTTCCGACAACGCGGCTGCGCGACTCGATTGCGCCGAGAAACCCGCCTTAAGCGGACACCGGTCCAAAGAGAAAAAGACAAAGCAAAAAGGGAAACATGACAGGCTCTCAAGTCCAAAATTGTTTCGGAGTCTTCCGACAACGCGGCTGCGCGACGCGATTGCGCCGAGATACCCGCCTTAAGCGGACACCGATCCAAAGAGTAAAAGACATAGCAGTAAGGGGAACATGACAGGCTCTCAAGTCCAAAATTGTTTCGGAGTCTTCCGACAACGCGGCTGGGCGACTCGATTGCGCCGAGAAACCTGCCTTAAGCGGACACCGATCCAAAGAGTAAAACACATAGCAATAAGGGAAACATGACAAACTCTCAAGTCCAAAATTGTTTCGCAGTCTTCCGACAACGCGGCTGCGCGACTCGATTGCGCCGAGAAACCTTCCTTAAGCGGACACCGGTTCAAAGAGTAAAAGACATAGCAATAAGGGAAACATGACAAGCGCAAAAGTTCAAAATTGTTTCGGAGGCTTCCGACAACGCGGCTGCGCGACGCGATTGCGCCGAGAAACCTGCCTTAAGCGGACACCGGTCCAAAGAGTAAAAGACATAGCAAAAAGGGAAACATGACACGCTCAAAAGTCCAAAACTGTTTCGGAGTCTTCCGACAACTAAAATAATACAGAGAAAGATGTTTTCCTAAATGAAATCTGTTCCACAAAGATGTATTTTTAAAAAGGGAGACATGTAAATTGTTTTCCAAAATTTCAGTATTTTTTGCGTAATTTTACCTGAAAGTACGTGCTACTTTAGCACCACTAGTTATCTAACCAGGGGGTGACATCATCTTCCTCGCGAGAAAGAAAAATACGGCGCTTATCTACACAAAGCTCTGAAGTTCCCAACAGTCCCAACAAGTACGATTATGTAGTGTGTGTATATGAGTTTAAGAGGCAGACTAGGGCCGAATTTAAGTAGTGCGTGGCCCCAAGCACAAAATTATGTGCCCCCCCCGAAAAAATAGCTCCATCTTTATTATATAAAAAATGTATTATAGTACAAGTACTTTCTGTAGACACAAATGAAAACTGATAATTTTTTATAGAAATTTTTACTTATGTTACATTTTTTTTTACATTGAATACATTTTACATTTTTTTCTGCTCTTCACTGCAGAAAATCGGTCGATGATGTTTTCAAAAACGAAGATTTCTCGGCTTATCCTGCTCCATTCTCAGGATAATTAGGTCTACTAAATTTTCTTGAGAGATAGTCTTACGTAGATAGTTTTTTTTTAAAAAAAATGGTATGCGTATTTTTCCGAAACGCGGTGCCTTTGGTGAATGGGGGCCCCCAAGCAACTGCTTGTTTTGCTTGGCGATAAATCCGGCCCTGGGACAGACTGGTACAAGAAATGGAGTTGAGGAAGGAAAGATTGTGCGCGAACGGCCTTCTGTGAATGGAATTCTGCCTCCGAATTCTCCTGGCATTGGTCGGAGAAAATCCGGAAAACTACCAATCAGAGCAGCCGGCCACTAGAATTTTCCTCCGGACAAGTTCCGGCAAAGGCGGCTCAGGGCATCAACTAATGTCGCTGCACTAACTCTGACAGGGAGTGCTAGCGTTCCAGCCCCAACAGTGGCAGGATTTTCGACCTAACTTCACAGCTAGGTCGAATTCAGCCGCTGTCTGCAGGAGAATTCTAGCGGCCGGCTGCTCTGATCGGTAGTTTTCCGTGGTTTTCTCCGATCAACACCAGGCGAATGCCGGAGCAGTACCCTAACAAGCGGGCCACGGACCGCGCGCGATCTTTCCTTCCTCTTCCGTGTCTTTTCCTCCCCCTTACTTACACACACATTCACATACACTACTACACTTCACCGGAGACCAGTCGGAAGCCTAGATCTTCTTCCAGCTAGGCCTGCGCCACACATGGTGGGAAACACCTAGTTTAGGAAAATTCCCATAAGCGGTGGTAGGTCGGGGGGGGGATCTCGCCAGCCAACCGGGGAACATCACCGCCATCTAACGCGATAAAAACAGGCACTACACTTACGGGACAAATTACCTTAGTCGTTTACGAACCCATAAATCAATGAATTTACCAGAGAGGGACTGAATGCGACCTAGCTATACTTACACAGGCCTTTCATTTATAGCAACCTCTAAAATAAAGACCGTATATAGTATCGAATATCCTCCATTACCGGCACTGGAACTCTTAGACCATTAGATCAAAGATGGTCGAGTGGAAACAAGTTGTCACTGAGTTATCGCAACCAGTTGGTCCTCCTAAGAACTAATCCTCACCATGTTGTTTCTGTGCGTGTGTGTGTGTAGAGTGCTGCTGTACGTGAAGCTGCTAGTGATGGCGGGGCTACTGGAGTTAGTTCTGGAGGCCACCGCGTGGGGCGCCCGCCGTCGGCGCTTCTCGGGTGCGGAGTCCGACGCACGCGACTACTTCCTGGAGTGCGCCTACATCTTCGAGATCGCAGGTCGGTGCTTGATAAAAATGTTATCGCGTTGCGTGGAGCATTTTATCGAACGGAACTCCTTTCAAATCTCTACGAACGTACGATTGATTCATTGATTCATTTTTACGGGCGCGACTAGTGCTATGGTCTTAGCCCATACGTGTTGTGAATGGGAGGTAATGTATTCTTCCATCACTTGATAGCGAGATTCGGCGCCGACCTACACGTCAACTTGCGTGGTTTTCCCCATCCTGGTATCTCCCACCAGCGGGGCACCAGAGACAAGCTCTAAGCTCGGGACGTGTGGTTGTGTAGTGGATGAAAGGGAAAGTGTGTGTACTATAAGCGCAAGTTTTCTTGATATTCCACAGCGGGGGGTGCGGGGAGAGGAGGGCTCTGGCTACGTCACGGCTTTAAGGGCGTACCAACTGTGAGCATAAACTTAACTCGCCAAAATGTGCCACGTGAAATGCTACGATTGTTTTAAAATTACGAGATGGTTGTTACCAGCATTGTAGATTGGTACGTGCCGTTCCAAATCGAACCTAAGTATCTCAACGTGCCATGCTATTCAGCGCTGGGTGAGGTCTAGGGAGCTCGTGTATCAAGAAACCTTGCGCGCATAATGTGGGGGATAGGACAAACAAGAGGAAGGGAAGATCGCGCGCGGTCCGAGGCCCGTTTGTTAAGGTACTACTCCGGCATTCGCCTGGTGTTGATCGGAGAAACCACGGAAAACTATCGATCAGAGCAGCAGCAGCCGTCGTAATTCCCCTCCAGACAGAAATAAGCCTAGCTCTGTAGCTCGTCGCAAGTCCTGTCACCGTCGGGACTCGAATCCTAGAGGTACGGTAGTGACGTCACCTGCTGTCCAGGGTTTCCTCAACCAAGGAGAAACCAGTCACCCCAGAGAATTAAACATTGAGTATATCAAGGCCACAAACACCATAAGCATTAGCGTGCCTCGAAACACCAATCAATCAATTAATGATGTATTTTGAAAGAAAAATATGCCTGGGTCTGGGATTCGTGCGCTCCTGTCCATGATGGGAAGAAATGGATGAATTACTCAAGTCTCTGCGCGGCGCAGCGATTTTTATGCTTCTACTGCGCAGCACCAGTGTTGCGTCACGAACCACGTGACCACAGCACGGGCTCTTCGTTTACCAGACCAGACGCTGGCCGCCATGTTGCATGGAGAGCCAAAAGAGTTGAGAAACGTTTTCAAAGTGGTACAAAATGAAAATGTTCAACGGTAAACAACCATAAATAGCACGGTGAAGGTGTTAAAGATGCAATACTTAAAATAAATGGTTCATAACCCTGTTTTTTATGTCTTGTAACGAGGTGATAATTTTGGTATCTGGCTGTGCTTAAAATGCCCGCTAATATTGTGACGCAAACTGGTGACTGGCGCTCATTGGCTGAAGTCGACACCCCCCCCTGCTCCCGTCTATTGTCTGAGTAATATTTCTGTCGACTTCACAGCTAGAGGCTAACTGGGGAGAGGGAGTTTCATTATTCAATCTGAGGGTTCACATTCTGCTGATGTCACTGCAGAGTCAGTGACACTTATTAAGGCAAAAATGAAATCTTACAGCGCGAAGCTACTGTGTCCTGAAGAGCGCCATTACGTTTTAGGTTTTACATCATGAGTGAGGTTCTATGTCACCCACTTTTGTGTGCTCTTATTGCGGTTTGTATCTCGCTACTTATGTGATCTGATGCTACCACGTGTCTGCTGCTCGAGTAAGTGGCGACATCGCTCTACTCTCACCCCAGCCGTCCAGTAGATGTAAATGGACTGTACAGGTAAGGGGAGGGGGCGTGTGTCTGTCCGCAGGCACGTGCGTGGACCTAGTGCGCGCGGCAGCTGTGAGCTGGCTGTGTCGCTGGCGCTGCGCCTGCTGGTGTCGGTCTGGGCTGAGGCTTGGGCCTGGGCCTGGGACTGCGGCCGAAGCGACGCCCCGAATGGCCACCGCCTCCACCGCCGCCGCCTCGTCCTCCTCCTCCACTGCCACCAACTCCTCCGGCAGCGGTTCAGCGCCGGTCGCCCTCACAGGGTACAAGGCGGCCGAGTGCCCGCTGTGAGCCAGCCCGCGAATCGCCAGACTGCATCCCGAGGGGTCACTATTACTCCCCCCTCACTTTCGACTGTAACGTCGAGATGAAACTAGGCGACAGGATCTCGTAATATTATTTGTATATCATGTACAAAGATGGCTTGGTTCTTAGTGTCAAGCATATATCAGTTTCACAAGCGAAAAGGCCAAGACTGTGATACTCTAAATAGATGAAATATTCTTAAAGTAAGATGTTGACCATAAACGAGTATGTATTTAAGTAAGTACGTATGTATATAAGTATGTATTTAAAAAAAAATAGTCGAAACCACAGAACAAGTAA